GTATAATGTAAAAAGTTGTACAAACTGTAACAATATGTTTGAATAAACAGACCTGAGGCATGACCTCACCTTAACTCAAAAAAAAAATAATAATAATTTACTAGAAAATTATTCATTTAAACTTTCTAATTATCTATTTTATTAATTATCTATTACTAAACTTTCTATATACTTAACTAGTATACTGTTTAAACAGTACTATACTTTTTTTTTAAAACTAGTTTTCAGTTATTACACATTTTAGAGCACAACACCTACCAGTAAAGCTTAAAAAACCTTCTTGTTAATTATCTATCTATTTTATAAACTATTAACTAAGCCTTGTTCTTGTAGAGTTCATCTGTATTTTAGTATCTACTTTACAGTATATTTCTAGTACTTTTAGTATACTTTTGCTTTGTTCTTAAACTTTTAATTCAGATAATTTGAAAAAACTATGAGTTGTTTTTGGTATATCAAGTTTGATCTAATATCTTTTTTTTTAGTTCAATTTGGTAGCCTAGTTAGTAGTATATCTTATCTAGAGATTCTTACTTATCCAATTTCTTTACATTAGTATTTGTTTTTTAGATTTAGTTTTTACAGTGATACTGTCAAAAATTTGTATTACCTTTCTACTTAGGTCTTTTTAAGTAGGCTCTAATTATTTTTAGTTTTATAAATTTATATAATTACAAAAATTTAGTATAGGTTTGCACTATTTGATACCAGTTTGCATCTCTCTGTGTATACAGATAATCTGTGATTTGCTAGTCATACTGATGTGACCATAGTTACAAATATCTTATTTTAATTAATTAACAAAATGTTATCATCATAATACATATATATTTTATATAAGTAATTACTCAAATTTTACTATCAGTAAGTTTTAAATTCACAATCTATTACTTAAAAGTTTACAACTTATTTATTTTACTAAGCTATCACATCTTACAATTTTGAGAAATTTTAATTTTAACTAATATAACAAACCATTTTTAAGCATTTATAAAAATAATTAAAAAAAATTAATTAAAAAATTAAATAAAAATATATACAAGTTTAATGTATATAAATCTTTTAATAAAGGTTGATGGCAAGACTGCCGAAAAGTTAAAAAAAATTTTTTATTAAAATTGTAAAATTCTGTTATTAAGAAGTATCTTTAACTTTTATTGAAAAAGTTAGAATTTCTATGAATTATTTGTTTATTCATTGATTTATTAAATATTCAGATTTGAATTAATTTAAATATTCATTTTACTATTAATCTTTGAATATTTGTTGATTTATCCAGATATTAATATTAAATAAATATTTAAATAAATTTATATATATAAATGAATGACAGATTTATCCAAATTGGAATTTTACTTCTCAAAAATAGATAAAAAGGTAGATATTTTTTAACAATAAAATCCCACAACTCTAATAAATCATTTTGTATATGTTTTTTTATATTATTATATATTGGATTTGTTTTTTGTAAAAAGTCCTTTAAATTGTATAAATAATATAAAATACAATTAAAATTAATAACTAATTATACAAAAATCTAGTAAGCATAAAGCTATATACAAATAATGACTACAAAACAACAATAACAAAACAACAAAGCAGATATTAAGACCAAGAAGCAATACTAAACAATATATCTATATAATTAAACAAAAAAGAATTATACTAAGAAGTTTAAAAAAAGGAAAAAAAAACACGTTTCCACACGCAATCGTTGATTCTCACTTTCCCAAAACCAACCTTCCCGAAATACTATTTCCCCGACATCACATAGGGTTAGGATTAGCATTTTTTGTTAATTGTAGGTACATGTTTTTAGCAAATTGTCACATGTGTGATGTCAAATAAGTGTCATGTCGGAGAAATAGCTTTCGGGAAATCCTACCGCATGTGTTTACTTCGGCCGTTTATTTTATTTCGGCTGATAAGCTTAACACATCATAACACAGCCTTATTCAACGTGATATCTTGATAAGCCACGGAACATCGAGAGCAATGGCAGAAATATCTCTTAGCATTAGCCCATAACATTACAAAGAAAATTAATGTTGAAATCCGCTAAAATTTTGACCTATTAAGCATGAAAATTTTTGTGGACTTTTCTGTGGTCTTTTTTTCATAGGTTAGGATTATGCATGTCAGACATTTATAGTCATAGGAAGACTTTCGTATGATTGGCTGTTTAAATCAATTTAATTTTACATTATTTATACAGTTTAAAGTACTTTTTAAAAACAATAAAGCTACGAAGAATAAACCAAAAAGAAGCATATAAAAAGGTTTATTAGGGTTGTAGAACTCCAATATTAAAAATAATCAAAATCCCTTTTTGTTATAGAGAAGCTAGCATAATAGCAACTTCTTAAAGATAGATAGAATTAAGTTATTACCATTCTAACTTCTCTAAAACAAAAAGGGACCTTGATTATTTTTAATAGTGAAGTCCTACAACCTTAATAAAACTTTCTATATACTTCTTTTTTGTTTATTCTTCGTAGTTTTATTTTTTTAAAAAGTACTTTAAACTGTATAAATGATGTGAAATAAAATAGCCAATCATACGAAAGTCTTCCTAAGCTGTTCTCATAAATTCTGGGACAACTGATAAAAAATTGATCAGCCGAATTTTGAATTCGGTGCAGAGGCAATGGAGTGCTATTTTCTAGCAAATAGCTAGTAATGCTGAGATGCGAATTTCGCTATTATTGCACTAAACACTTGATTATTACCTTTACTGATTTGTAGGTGAACTAAAATGTTCAATTAATCACCTCAGCCTCTGAAAAATCTGGTTATGTCACAGATCAAAATTTTCAGGGGTGTTACAGACGGAAAATGCTGAAACTACACTTTGATATTTCTGTTATAAAGGCATCAAAAAGCGCAATTTCAGTCATCAAAGCGAGTCTGCGCTTCGCTCCGGACAATAATATCACATCGAATAAAATTTTTTAAAGATGACAACGCTGTTAAATAATATCCTTAGTGCAAAAATGACTTTTATGAAAAAAAAGAAAATTTTTTACAAATATTTTGATCATTGTAAATAACAAATCTAGATTCATATTTAAAAACTAATAAGCACAAAAGATAAAAACCGATTGCTGAACCTGGAAAAATGTCCAATCAACAAAATTTAACTATATTTCAAACTCAAGTGATAAACAAGGTATTAATGTTGAGTTAATTAAGGCTTTATTTAGATTCCCTTTTGAGTATAGATGTAGAGAGCTCATTCTCAAATTATAAGCATATTTTAGATGACAGATGGACTTTTACTGAAAAAAATATTGAAAGGATAAGTTTTTTATATTTTACAACGAAGGCGATTAAATGTTTTTTTTAAAATATTAATTCATAATAAATTTTAGTTTGCTAATTTTGCTAATTATGTTAATGTTACTACCTATTTTCGCTAGATTCGGTGTTTAAATGCTGAAAATCCGATAACACCGAATTCCAGAATTAATGAGAACAGCTGTAATATCAAAAACCAATGTTGAAATAGTTTCTAGGATTCAGGGTTAACTTAGTGTTATTAATAAGAGTATATGTAGATTTTAGTAGGTATTATGGGTTTAAATAGGAATTAAAAATTTCTCCATAAGCCGATTTCAGCACAAACTACCACATTAATTATATCGATGTTTCTATCTCTAGGTTATAAATTAGATATGATAATATTCAAATACAAAATTTTCAATATCAATATTAAAGTTATCAGGAGAGCAAATTATAATTCACAAGATTTTTATTGTACATGTCTCTTTAAAATGCAATTTATTACAAGATTTTAAATACATTTACCAATAACTTTATTTATTTGAGGTAGATGACTACACACATTACATTACGTTTTTATGGATTTAAACGACAAGATTCCATATTACCTAAGCTACTAATATAAAACTCATAAAACCAATAACTAAACTTAACCATATTCCCCAGAAATTTGAACCAGAATTGAAGATATTTGCAGAAGAAAAGGCTTGGTCATCTGCAGGTACGGCTGTCACTATCGAATTAACAGCCACAACAGTGGTTGGTGGGACGAAAGCATTTACTACAGTTACATCACCATTAGAATCAGTAGTCATAACCGCAGAAGTGAATCCTGGCATCACAGTAAAAACAGTATTAAATATGGTTGTTGTAATCGATGATTTAGAAGGGTTTGTCAAATTTGGTTTTTGAGTTGTCCTTGGTGCATCAGCTGGTGTAGACGTAGGAGATGTGTCGGACACAGGTGTAGGGAATGCACCGGACACAGATGTACGGGATGCATCGGACACAAATTTAAGGGATGATGTAGCGGTAGGGGATGCATTAGAAGTAGGAACGTTTGGCGAGTTTGGCCTATGAGAAATACGTATTAACGTTAATAAAAATATTAAGTTACCAAATGAGGCAATGTTGAATACTCACTGTATCGTTGGAGCGGCCAATTGGGATCCAGGAGGATTAGAAATGAGTGGAACGGTAGTTACTTTAATATTGGAGGTTACAGAATTATCTGCAATCGCGGGTAACTTGCCGCTAGCTGGGAACGAAGAAGTGGTCACTGTGGTTTGAGGTTTAGCAATATTGGTAGTTATTGGAATATTGGTAGTTATTGGAATGTTGGTAGTTGTTGGAATATTGGTAGTTGTTGGGGTAATTATTGGGGCAATTATTGAGGTGATTATTGGAGTAGTCGTTGGGATAATAGTTGGGGTAGGGGTAGTTATTGGTGTTATTTTTGTGGTTTTCGTGGTAAGTGAATTAAATGAAATAACTGGTGTTTTCGTACCGGTAGGTGAACTCTCCGAGTTTGTTAATGTCGTTGAATTTTGTACTTTCCCGCCAGGGGTTTGTCTTTTGTTTACTCCACCAAGAGGAGATGCAATAGTTGAGGCAATAAGAAGAATAAAGACAAGGGAAAATGACACAACTGTGTGATTTCTCAGTACTCTAGACTTTATCATTATCGTGAATGTTTTTTACAGTTTTTAAATATAGATTATTGATTATGATTAAAAATATGAACTATAGGACGTTAAGTACTTTTTTTAAATTTTTTTTCTTTTCTTCTTGCGCAAACAAAATCCAACGACACAAACTCTCTTTGATCTACAAAGAAAATTTGACCACCAATTTGTTAGAAAGTTACAAATGGAGATGCCAACACTATTTATTAGAATCGCGTATGTATGTATGATATGGTACAGATTTTGTGTACTATTATATGACAACGAATATTCTTGGCTAAAAGCTTTGTGAACCAATGAAACTGAATATAATATTGTGTTTATTATCATGTCGAACAAAAAAGTAAAACAAAGATTAAATTCAGGTCAGAAACAATGACGTTTACGAATAAAAAATGTATTATTTGAAATTCTTAATTTCTATTGTAATTTTTGTATCAAGTAGAATCAGTTTTGGCCATATGACATTCTATTACCAATGAACTAGAGTTCTAATACCCTCGAATATTTAAAATATATATTGGTCAAAATCGGATATAAAATGTGTCTTTGTACGATTGCAAACGTTAATATTCCGGCCAATCAAACAGCTTGATATAGCGTTATTAATTTTGCTGCATCCAAATATTGACAATAATTGAATATAATCTGAATAATTCGGGTAATGCTAATAAAACATGTAATTCTTAGTGTTAATTAGGGAAATACAAGGTTTTAAGAACAAAAAAAAATATTTAATTCTACATATATTTTATGATCTATATATATTTTATAACTAATAAAATATTTACAGATTAATATACATGCTAGAAAACGGAAATTTTTAAAAGTCCGGAACCAATAAGGGGATTTTGCTCACAAAAACACATCTGAAACGAAGCAATGGACAATTATGAAGATAGAATCCCATCGATTCAAGATTAAAATTAAGTTCATAACATAATGTAGAAAATACTCTCAATCTTATAAATAACAGGCCACACTGTAAAACGTATTCACTACCTTATAACGTACTGTAACTAAGACGAGAACTTAAAAAAAACATACAGATTTACCAAGAAATAGCAATTTAAAAATATTGCTAAAAGTTATAATTATTTTGAAATAATTATCTTATTAGTGTTTCTTTTGTACGTATAACTATTGCTTACATTAAAGTAGATTATGCATATAGCTTTGCGTTAGTGCCATTACTTTTACAAAAGATTTTTATTATTTATGTACTGTTATTTTATTGGTTTGTCGTTAACAATCTTGCTCATAACATATTTAAGAATATTCGATATAACGAAGGAGTCGCTATTATTTAGTATATAAAAATCTAAGTTAGGGATCCAAACCGTCAAGTTAAAACCGGTTATTAAATTAAGCCGGGTCCGATTTCCAAGGGAGACCGACCCAAATATGGGGATGTCTAAAGCCGTGTGCGGTTATATGTTTTTTGCTTATTAACTAGAGTTAGGAATAAATAACCATTGGGTTATTTTGAAGTCTAAATGATTTAAGTTTTTTTTTTTGGTATTAAGATGAGGTCTTGCTCATATCTTTATTGATAGTTTTAAAATTAGCAATTACATGAAATTATTAGGCATAAAAAGTAATTTTATATAAATATATAGTATTGTTCTAAATATAAATAATAAAAGAAAATTACATTCAAGAATAGAGCTTAGATATATTTATTTGTGATTTAAATTTATTAGAGTAATCAAGACTTATTTAGATTTGTATATTTTAAATATGATTAGAAAAAAATATTATAATTAATCTAAAAAATAATCTACTGTAAATGTTAATTTTACAAATAGTTTAATCAATAAATAAACAAGTATTAGTATTAGAATATATTTGATCAAGTAGTTTATATAAACAGAAGTATATATAAGTTTTATAATTATAATTAATTCTGCTATTATAACTAAGTTGAATTAAGAGTTTAAAATAAGATAGTTTAAGTTTTTGTTATTGTTTTTAGGTTATAAAAATTTATGCAGTATGATTTTTATAATAATCTTTATAAACAAAAAAGAAAATAAAATTTTTCTGTTAAGAGTATAGTAACTTAGAGTAGTTGATAAGTTGATAATTTTTAAATAGTAGTTCTAATGTTCAAATTCTATTTATAACAAAATTTAAATATTATACTTGTATTATAGTAACTGTTTCTTGCTAGTTGGTTAAATTTATATATCTGTTTTTTTAGATACATCAAGTTGAATCTCACCTAATATTAAAAACTTAGAGCATCTATGTAAAGTGTAATGTTATATTTATATAGTGAAATGTTAATAACTGATATTATATAAAACTTTAATACAAACTTAGTAATTTTTTTTTTTTTTTTTTTTTCAGTATTAAGGTGACCTCTTTGGTCTGAGCTTTTTATTAATACTTATAGCAGGTAC